CCATGTATTCATCGCACTCATCCTGTCGGACCTGCCTCAGCGTCATGTCTCGTGAACGCTATCAGCATATCATGGCTTGTTCGATACAGAACGCGCATGCATCATCCCGGAGCTCGATTCCTCTTGAGAACGGTACTGCGGCCGCCGACCACCGATCGGATGGCATTCTACAGGTGGAGAGCCGTATTACATTCAAGGGCTTATCGTATTTCTGAGCTTCGTCTCACGTTCGGTGTGGCAGTGGAAGGGTAAGGGTCATGGTTCATCTTGTCAGTCCGGAGCTAGGTGAAGTGGGCTACCACGTGCGCTCCACGCTAACGGTCTTGGCAAGCTCCAACCATCGCATCCTCAGGGTCTCCCACATCCCATCTGTTCCCACCCACGACGACGCCTCATGTCACAGCCTATACAGCAGCACCATAGCCCCCAATTTCGCGCTCGCTCGGCCACCCACTCGATCGAAACCCATACCGGCTACGAATTGTTCGCAGCGGGAGTCCGCTAGACAATAAGCTCTAAAACCGCCGAGCGCGAATCCATCACTGACAACGCGATCCCGTCCCGTCGTCACGGACCTCCGCCGTACACGCAGCTTCCACAGACGTTGATTCGTGTAGCGCGTATCTTCATGTCTCATCATAATCAGGCAGCGGGGGGGAGGCGCGAGGCAGATGGCAGCTGTGTTGCGCTTTGAAGCCTGACCCGGTACCCACTCTGCTGGAGCTGAGTAGCCGCTTGCATGAACAGTACATGGAATACGACGTTAGCTTGGGATCTAGGTCCAGGTTACTAACAGTGGCTGAAGCGTTCAGCTAGATTACGGCTCGAGAATCTCAGACGGCCGCTCTTCGCGCTGCATTATGTGCATTTGGGGTCGATGAGGCTTTGCCGCTGAGACATTGCCCTTCACTCCCAATGCTTTTAATTGCCATCGTCTGAATATGACCCGAAGCAAGGCCCGAGCGAGGTTCCAAGAGCTTATAAACCGGAAGGACCACGTTTTCTCGTGATACATTCATTGCTTCCCTCATCCTTGTTGTACATGCATTGCATTGCTAGTGTTTAGCTGCATCGTCCCTTCGCTATGGGTATCTTGTCATTATTCGTCCTAGTCACATTTGTTCTTGCACGACAGGTGATTGCCATCACTACACAGCAGATCGAGACCGACTTGTCCTCCAACCTTTCTAATGGATCACACGTCGTTCTCACCACCGATTCCTCTTACCCAACTGAATTCACGCAACGATGGAGCATCTACGATAAGGCCGAGCCAGCCTATGCCGTTGCTGCCAAACCCGCTACAGCGAGAGACGTACAGACGATCTTGCGGTATGCAACCAAGAACAAGGTCCCTCTTTTAGCAACCGGAGGTGGCCACGGGTACTCGACCACTCTTTCTGGCCTACACAATGCGCTCGATGTTGATCTACGCAACTTCAAGAAGATTAAAGTCGACGCATCCACCAACACCATGGTCGTTGGAGCCGGTTCTACGTTTCATGATATGTTCGATCCGCTGTATGCGGCCGGCAAGATGATGCGTAAGTCTCCGACATAGTCGGCATCCTAGATTACTGACAAAGCCCTCAGCTTCTGGTGGGACTTCTCTGCCAAGCATCATTGGCCTCACGTTGGGTGGGGGTGTAGGACCTTTGACTGGTGAACACGGACTCCTGATTGACTCTCTACTCTCCGTGGAAATGGTCACCGGATCGGGCGAGATTCTAACGGCGTCGGCTACTGAGAACTCCGACCTCTTCTGGGGCATGCGTGGCGCGGGCTTCAACTTCGGTGTGGTCACATCAGCGACCTATCGCATTTACGATACAATCAATGATGGCATGGTTTACAATGCAGACATGTCGTTTGAAGCTGAGAAGAACGCCACGATATTTGAAATCTTCCAGACTTATCAAGGCAAGCAAGATGATAAGCTGGCATTAACGATTGGATCCTCCATAAAGAACAAGGTCGTAAGTGCTAGCCACGTCTGGTTGGATATTTGGCCTCTGTTAACACATTGTCAAGCCAACAATCGATGTCTCCGCCATTTACTACGGCAGCAAGCAGCAAGGCGACGCCGCGATCAAGTCGTTCATCAACCAGAAGCCATATTACAGTAACATCTCGGTCGTACCCTACAACCGGCTAGTGAGCGTAGCAAACTTCGGCGGCGATATATTTGCTCAGCGGAAGGGTGTTGACGCGGACATGTGGGGATTTCAGCTCAACAACCTCACTGTACCTGCGCTGGTCGACACATTCACGAAATACATCAACTTCCTCCTTGCAAACCCCGCAATCGATAATACCAACTGGATTATCGAGAAATTTGGCCTCGGCGTAACGGCAAGCATCGACGATGAGTCTACAGCCTATGCTTGGCGCAAAACTGTAGCCTATGGCTTCTTCGCTTTTTACCTACCTGGCAATGTCACTGCGGAGCAGACCAACACCGTCGACACGTTCACCGCGAAGATGCGCACCGATTTGATGACAGCGTGCGGAAACCCCGATGGCAATGTGTTTCCCAACTACGCACGTGGCGACGAGAAGCCGGAGCAAGTGTATGGCGCGACGAAACTTCCAAGACTGAGGCTGCTGAAGAAGAAGTATGACCCGAAGGGTTTGTTCAACCACTTCAACTCTTTCGTATAATGTTCCATTTCGCCACAGTTAGGGCTAGGTGCTCTTGCCTTTCTCAGCTTGGTTCTCGGCCTCGTCGGTTTTCTCAGTCCCATCGAGTTGTACATAATCTATGGTTCTATCAAACATCGTATCCATCATTTCTTAATCATCAGCACATGTCTTGCTACGACTCAATATCGATGTTCCGTGATGCGGTGAAAAGGTGTGGCACGAGAGTTGAACTGACAGCTGTCGATTTATGGGAGGCTACTTTATTCGAACAGCATGAAGAACCGCTGCCTCCTATCGAACAAAACCGCTGAATATCTGAAGCCTACAGTAGTTCGCTCGGTGAGAATTGAGGGCGAAAGGCAAAACAAAGTATATCGAAGCGCGAGAAGATGTATCAACAATCTTCGACAACCGAAAGTTCAGATCAAGCACTAGCCACTTTTGTTACGGCTGTAGACGAGAAGAAAGAGACAACGGGTGATGAGAATGTAGAGAAAAGTGGCATGAATGACTCTAGAGGCGACACGTCCGACGCGTTTCATTGATATTGACATGAATGTACATCATGCTCACTACAATACTCGATGCTCGGGAAAGAAATTGGACATTTCATCTGCGCAGAATCGACATGTCGCCAGCTAATACCCACGCCAATATTCCCACTACCTTTGATGCCTTTCAATACTCCGCATCTTCAACGCAGAGCTCGTTGATATGCTCTCGCCTCCGTAACGCCAGCTCAACACGCCTGCATCTGGCTGCCGAAACATACCCGCCAAATCAATACCATCTCACTCGGCATTACCCGTTCCCAATCATCTTCCTCCGTGTGCTTGTCTCTAGACCAGAATAGCAGCAGCATTGCAAGCCACGAACCCAGCATAAAGCACAATTCTCACACGGTTCAAGTAGCCCCAGTAGGCGATCTTATCGTGATCCTACAACACGGCGTTAGGATCTCTTGCATCTGGCGTACACGAACAACACCGAAGGTATAGGGAACTCACCCTAGCCGTCTGCATTCCCCTGCCCTTCTCTGGTAGGTCCGCATAATGCAAGTCCTTCTGCGCCCTAAACTTCTCGATCAACACATCATTCACTGGGTTCATGTAGTGAAGTGTGAATGGGAAGATCAGGAACGCCAGCACGCTGCTAACGCCATAGATGATAGTGGTCTTCCCCGTAAGTCCTTGCTTGGTGGAGGAACCGTATGTCATGATGGCGGACAAGATGAGATTGGATGCTGAGAGCGAAGTCGCAGGGACTTGCGCGGCGCGGAACTGGTAGTGCCATTGCCGGATTGCGAGGATTGGAGATGGAGACTCTAGGATGGAGGGGATGGAGATGGTTGACAGGGCTGTGTTCATGCCGAGGAGGAAGGTGGCTTGAAGAAGAGTGCCAAATTGTAGGTGGGCAAAGGACAACATCTTGGATGAGGATTGCCAGACTTAGGGATGCGAATAGCAGAAATTGGTTTATGGCAAGACGATGAGAGACGAAAATTAGATCTTTGTTGATGGTGGCGTTGATGTGAGCGAGATGCAATATATGCTTTTATCTTCATCGTAGCTTCTCTGTGTATCTCTCCACCAACGCCCATCGCTCTTCTTCCGCAAACATCACCGAACTCCATCCACGCACTTCGTCTCCTCCTCATCGAAGCTCCTACGCCGGCGGCTCTCTAACTATCGGCACCTAGACACGTCGGATTTCCAGACCAAAAATTCTGCATCAAGTAAGCAAGAATCCTATCATCGCACGTCCGAGTTCCATCTAAACCGGTGAACCGCGTTACCAAGCCCAACCACCACAAGGCTGCTCCTTCACACGAACACGGACAAGAACCGCGCTAAGGCTGAAACTGGATTCGGCCCGTTCTCAGCTGAGTAACTCGCGAGCAGAAACCTTAATTCCAAGATGATGGGACGCCTGATTCGATGCGTCCAAGGTCGCTTCGACCCGACATAACGCGCTAGTCCGGAGTTCCGTACAAAGTTTACAAACAAACGTTACCCACGCAGCATCCTTCAAGGAAATGTCGCCAACGACAATGCAGGAGTGCGCTGTTCGTCGCGCAACACCGGACACCGAGATGACTAATTCCTGTCGTGCACGCGCCGTTCTTGTGCGTTCCTTGACGTCAGTAATTGTTCTTGGATTGTGAAGCGCTTACTTGTGCCATCGTATTTCCGCTTCATATCAACCCCCAAATCATCAAGATTGCTGGCCTGACTTGAACTACGCGCACGAAAGACGAGAGACTACCAATCTCACCTCACTTCCTACCTACCCACTCTACTCTCCACCAAGCATTTCCCTCTAGCGGTATAGCTGCTTCGGCGCGACATTCACCAATCATGTCCTCATTCCCTGCCTTCCTCAAGTCCCAACTCCTCTACACGCCCAAGGTACCTCAGCCGGAGACCTTCACCGGCAAGACCGTCATCGTAACAGGCGCCAACAGCGGCCTCGGCCTAGAAGCAACACGGCACTTTGTCCGCTGCGGCGCAACCACCGTCATCATTGCATGCCGCACGCGCTCCAAGGGCGAAGCCGCCCAACGCGACATCGAAGCCACGACGAAGCGCACCGGCGTACTGCAAGTCTGGGAACTGGATCTCTCGTCGTATGCCAGCGTGAAGGCGTTTGCGAAGAAATGCGAGACACTACCTTGCATTGACATTGTGTTGGAGAATGCGGGAATAGCACAGGGGAAATTCGAGAGAATTGAGGGTCATGAAGCACATATCACAGTGAACGTCATCTCAACCTTCATGCTCGCTCTGCTCTTACTCCCCGTTCTGCGGAGAACAGCGGAAATACACAAGACGAAGCCGTATCTCACCATCGTCACCTCCGAAGTCCACCACTGGACGCAATTCCCGCAGAAGAAGGCAGACAGCATCTTCGACGAGCTAGATGACGAGAAGAAAGCCGACATGGCCGATCGCTACAACGTCTCCAAACTCATGCAGATCCTCCTCGTTCGTCACTTGACCCAAGTCATCATCAAGGACAAGAAGAAGGAACCTGTCGTTATCAACTGCGTTACGCCTGGTCTTTGCAAGTCCGATTTGGTCAAGGATATGGGTATGGCGCCTGTGGTGTTTAAGAAGGTCTTGGGTCGCCAGGTCGATGTGGGCAGTCGGTTGCTGGTGAATGCGACGGCGCTGCCGGAGAGTCGGGGAGAGTATATCTTGGACGATCATGTGGAGGAGCCGTCGCCGCTGGCGAGGAGTGAGGAAGGCGCGGAGCTGGGGAAGAGGATTTGGGAGGAGCTGTCGGCGATACTGGAGAAGGCGAGCCCTGGTGTCACTCAAAATTTGTGAAGCCTAGTTTATGATTGTGGCACTTGCTCGCATGATGCACTGGTAGTTGGATTGGTGGGATTTAGATACTGTGTAAGGCTGTCATCAGTCAACCAGATGAATATGGATGTTATCCGCGCTGTATCGTATTGAGATGGACGTCCACGTACATATTGTCATGGATCGTGTTGAAGTGTGGACGTGATTGTGGTGAAACTCATCGGGGTATTCTATTGTTGCAACGGCACAGTCAAGACGAGACAAGCTTCTTCGTCAACGGCAGCCAAGTGATGTTCCTGACAATCCTGTTCTATCGATATCCCATACCTGCTTTTAGACGCCTGCGCCATATTTACATGATCATTAACACCATCAACTCCATCTAGTCAAGAAGTAGCGAGCCTTTTCGATGACATTACGTGAGCAATGTGTAGGGTGACTCTCCAGCTTGCTGATACAGTACTGCAAGCTGTTATTCCCCTCAAGAATGGGCAACCGTCTCTTATCATCGAGTGTGACGACAGGTGTGCCAGTAGTAGTGTTGAGGAAGCACTCTTCCTCCGAGGGTAATAGGGCATCAATGCCACACTCAACCGCCGCCGATGAAGAGGTTCGGTCCCAAGATCGGAGAGACCAACAAGACATGGCCGCACGATACAAAGCTACCGGCCACCAGGTTGGCCGTGCGTCCAAGGACGATCTGTCGATCAATCTGAAGATTTGGCCGGCATGGAACAGCACGTATCTCTCTCCTTCGGGATGACGTGCCCACCGCCACATGTCCGCACGGGCCGTGTCTGACATGGGCGGCTCTTCCTTGGCGCATTTCTCAATCTCGGGGATGCTGGTGAACACGTTCAGGCTAACCAGATGGAGCATTATCATGCTGACACAGTCGGTGGGGGTTACTTCACCCTCGTCATCTTTGCTGGAAGAAGCTTTTGACCGCGAGAGAAGCGTTGCCAGATCTTGGAGTAAATCTTGCGTCTCCTGCAAACGGCCTAGGATCTTGATCTTGGAAAGCACCCGGTATCGGTTTGAAGGTTCGTCGGCGTCGAAAATGCGCAGAAGTTGTTGTTGCTCGAGCACCATGGCCAATATGGGGTGCAGAAGGAGACGAAGGTGGTGTAAGGGTACGTCATCGCCGACTACCAACCGACCCTGGAGGAAACTTCGAAAAAGGCCGTTGAGAGATGGAGTCGTGTGGCCAGAGCGGGGTCCAACAGAACCCTGTTTCTCAAGCCAGGCACCAAACTTTGCGGCATTGCAGGGTCCTGGTTTGTTGCCGTTGGCTCCAGAATGCTCAAGCCACTCATTGAATGACTTGGCGTGCCATAATTCGTTGTCTTGCGGTAAGGGTACTTGCAGGTCGTTGATCGAGAGTATCGGTGGAAGGTCGTGTAGCAAGCTGATCTCGAGGTCTACGTAGACCCAAGCATATGCGTGGCTAGAAGTGTTAGTAAGATGTCGACGGGTAGTGTGAGATGTGTCTTACCGATTACGCTGCTCTTGCTCTTTCCACATTTCCCACATCTCTGGCCCCTCCGCTCTTGGATTATACACGGCCTGTTCGGGCTGTAAGACGCCAGTGCACTTCAGCATCTGTGAAAGTTAGTCCAAGTTTCCAGCGCACGCGTAAATTTGATGACTTACACTAAGGTATTGCCCTCTTTTCGACATGGCGTACGCAGCGAAAGAGTCTTTACCACTCCGTGCGCAGAGTGTAAGCAACTGCAGTGCGATTCCTCCGATCATTGGTTGCGATATACTCCGGCTCTCGAGAACGTCGTCCAATGCAATCCTGCATATCTCTATCAAGCCGTTGGCGAGGACGTGCGATTCGAAATGATCTGTAAGCATCGCACCTTGGGAGATGAGAAGTATGATGAGCAGAATTCCAATATCGGCCTTGTCGACTTGCAAGATGTCTGTGACGTTGATGCTTGAGGAGCCAGCGAGACCCAGATAGGGCTGAATGGAGTCGATGCGGTTTGCGTACGTTTCAATAAAGTGCATGAGAACGTTGGAGGGTGGGAGGACTACGATGCGTCCAAAGAGGCCTTGACTTGATGTTGAAGGAGACTGTCGGCTCCAGAGTGCCCGTTGCAAGAGTATCTGTACAGTCGCAACAATCCGGTCTCTGGCATCATGTGAGAGAGACTGGCTAGGTTCGCTGTCGTTCTCCGCAAGCCCTTGCCATGCGGTAGGCTGTGCGAGTAGGTCCACCATCTGCGCGAGTACATCATCCGATGCCGCAGATTTGTCTACAGCTTTCTGCGGATATTGTTTTGGTGTGAAAGCGTTTCGTAAATCTGGTGAGCTCGCTGTTATGCTTGTGCTCCCTCGATGTATCGTGTCGGGCGGTGTCAGCGGTTGGTTCGGTCCATGTGACAGATTATGGTTTTGCAGTTGAAGCCCTTGACCTCCCCCTACACAGCCTGGCGGATACAAGGGATCGCTAGGGTGCATATCCATTGACGATATCGAAGCAAAAAGGTTGTTTGACGTGTCCATAGGTTCACCGTTAGCTGGAGCACCGGGATATGAGAAGCCCATAAAGTCGTCGTAACCACCAAGATCTAGAGATGGTGCGGGTAAAGTCGAGTTGGCGAATGCAAGCATGTCGTTATTCTGCGGCGGTTGGCTCTCGGGCACCACGTATCCAGTAAATTGATCCATGTTGGGAACATGGCTCCCGTTGGAATAGTTGGTGTTTGTCGGGCTTGTTGACGCTTGACTCCGTGCTGTCGATTTTCGAGGGACTCGCGGCTTACGCGAGGTAGTTCTAGGCTGACAAACGTAGCCTCTTGCAACGCATTGTGAGCATGGTACCTGCGGTTGTATTAGATTTTGCACTGATGGCTCAGTAAGTGCATTCCGGCTTGGTACTCACCTTCCTGTCGCATCGCGCCTTGGAGATGGCACATCTGGTGCAGGCAATCAGGCCGGGGTGACTCATTGAAAGTGTGATGTGATTGGGAGGTATAGTCGATGTACCGATGATTACGAGGTATGTCGAAGGCGTACCCAGGTACTATGTACGGGATGTAAGCGTGTATATGTGCGTTCCCCGAGCTAAGCTCATACGGGACGGGACCCATATATACCCCTCCTTGGCACCTTGATGACAAGATGTAGCTGAGCTCGAAGACAGCCCTGGAGTGCGGTGACGCGTGAAGATCTTCAGCGACACACCTCAAAGTCGCCAAAATTATCCCGAGGGACAACTTTGATGGCTAGCGCGAAACGAGAGGACGCATCAGTCCAATTTGAGGGCGCATGCTCTTCTTCGCAGGCTCAAGGCTATGCATGTATGTTGCGGCGGGTTAGGCCGCTACTGCCAGGTTCAGGCGATAAGAGCCAAGTGGGGCAAGGGTCTTGGGGCTGTAAACCTACGCCAGTCTCGCCTCGCAAGACGATGCCGAATTGACTTTCCAGCCTCACCGGCCGCCGCCGCTTGCTAGTGCTGGCCAGTCAAGCATGGCAAACGCCATTCCCACGAGGGGGCGTGGTGGAGCCGCAAGGCTAAGCACTTGCCAAAAGGGACCTACGTTATGTAAGCCGGGCTCACCCTGCACCAGGCGTGGCAATATTCGTGAGACACTGACGAAGCTGGAATTTAGTAGGCGCACAGGCAGCAACAATATCCTTTTTGACCGTCTTCTGCTCTCGTTACTTGGCCGGTTGTCTCAAGAATGAGTCCAACGCCAGGTGCCTGTAAGCACTACTTACGTCGCGCGATTGGACTGTGCCCAAGTAATGTTGCATCGTTTCTCTTTTCTGTACGACGTTCTGAAGTCAGATAACTTGGCCAGCTGCAACATGATCGCATATACGAGCGACTATGAGCCATAAGGTGTGTTAGCAGCTCAATCAGGTCCCCGAAATTCGTCCTTGGCCCTTTCCTCATGGTAAGCAGGTCCAATGTAGTGAGACACTCGCTTTTGCACTTGGTGGCTAAGATCATGTAGCTGAAAACATGTCTCTCCTACATGTGCACATGAACTCGGTCCTTCCGGAGACGCGACCTGAGGTCGGGCCTTTCCGTAGATACGATGCAGCAACCCCAGCACCGCAGCATCAGGCGCTGCAGTCGAGATGAAAGGGTGCGTGGCCACACATGCCGGCGGTCCTTATCTAGAGGCGACTCCGCTTCCAGGTCGCACTCTCAAATGTGTATACAACCGAATAGCGACAGCTGCAAACATATGGGTACTGGATCGACATGGCTTTACTGAACACAGGAAGTCAACCTTGACAACACAGCTGTATGCCACACCAGCAGGACCAAGCATAAACCGCCCTTGTCTCCGAATGGCAGTACTGCACATACGGTGTTGTAGTAACCCGGTGACCCACGACGACAGCTCCAATCTATTCTAGAGCCTGGGAGTGCCGCGGCTGAATGATGAGATGAACGATTCGTCGGTACAGGGAACATTGGCAAAGCCGACCATGCCAACTAGTTCATTGAGGGGGAGCCGTCGCGTGTTGCGGAGCCAGAAGAGGGCCGACTAACTGCTGGTCGGACGGCTGGCCTCAGCTTTACATTCAGACCTCAAGACAGCGTGCTCGAACACCTTGGTCATCGTCAATAGTAGCCTTGCGTCTTTTCTAGTCCCAGATATATCCTCTTAGCTGCAGATTCCCGACGTGGATCAGACTATTCCGGATTACCCCATGGGGTTGGTATCGGAAGCTACTGTGATCCTCGGCCGAGTTGAACATCCGTCATTTGGTCCAATCACTGACGATGAAAATGAGTGTCCCCAGAGTAAGCCGTCGTTTATAACTCGACCTAGAGAGGTGGAATAAAAGAGGCCTCCCATTTCAATAGGCTACTGATCAGGTCAACGCACCAGTAGAAGTAGATACATCGGGTTCGTCGTATCTGTCCTGTACAGCTTGACCAATGGGTACTAGCCCACTTGGACGTGCTGATGCAGAGGCGCAGTTGCTGCGAGCAAAGCTCAGCCTGACATGAGCGGGAAAGTCTGTAAACAGCGTCGGTACATTGGTACCAGCGAGATACATGTATTGTTCGTCGTGGTCCTGTCGTCATCGGGAAGACCCGAGCCCTACCGGGTCTTCAGATCGCCCAGTGTTGCGAAACTCCCATGGCAGATATCTTCACCCCTTACAGCGTGTTGGGGTCGTTCTCGTGACAGCTTAACCATATAGCTCATAGTCTGGTGTATCTGAATATGTTCAATGGATCGTGATTTTTGTCGGGTTTTGAAAGCCGATTTGGCTCTGCAGCCATGAGCTGTTCAATCAACCAACACAGATACTGAACTCGCGACGTTGTGCCAGAAAGCAAGCCTAGTTTCATCGAGAGTTGCGCAGTATGTACAGTGATCGAACCATACGAACAGTTCCTGGCGCATGGTCGATTGAGAAGACCATGTTGCACACATGTAGCGTATGCATGCAGGAGCGATATCGACGATGATTCTAGGTTATCCCTGAAGACATATAACAGCGCATCCGATTTTGGCGGCTACGTGCTGCCTTCCCCGATAGTAGAGCCGATGAGACAGACTGATGTGAACGACGCAGCATCAGGGGCGTAAGAGATTCGGTCCGGCCCCTGCAGTGATATCAGATGGGCCGGTTCCGCCTGCAGTGTACAGCATAATAGAAGCAAGGCCGACCCTCTACACGTTGGTTTACGTTTCGTAAATGCCATCATCGTAGTATGAAGGGGTCAAAGACCACCGGACTGGTGTACGGTACGACTGGTGGTGATCAGGGTGGGGTTGAAGATGGAGAAAGCGCGTTCACTAGCAACGGCAAGTGGGGGAACTCGGATGCCAAGCTTTCCATCGCGGGCCAATAGCGGAGTGACGACAAATCAACAACTTCTGAAGCAAGACCTGGTGACTGTTCAGCTGGGATGCAGGCACGGTATTGTCAAGGTAGGTCATTACATTGTTCCATGTTGATCGTTACTCAACGCCCCCATCTAGATCCGTTTTGGCGCGCTGCTAAAGTACATTGAAGGTCAATCGAGAAGCGGAGAGCTGGGGTATGTCCAACACAATTATGTTACAAGGAAGACTTCGGGGTATCTGCCCCGGAAGACGCTCGCCTCTTCTTCGGGCCCATTGAGTTTGATTAAATTACTCAAGAACACGCGTTACCAGACCAGTAGCGACGGTTCGGCCACCCTCGCGCATGTTGAACCGTTGGCCAGTCTCTAGGACGTGGGGCTGGTGGAGTTCGCAGACCATCTCGACGTTGTCACCGGGCATAACCTGCTTGTCGTGGGCGTCCTCGGTGCCCTCTGGCCAGTGAAGCGCGCATGACTCGTCGGCGGTTCGGATGAACATTTGGGGCCTGTAGTTCTCGCCGAAGCCAGTGTGACGACCACCTTCCTCCTTGCTCAGCACGTACATGGAGACGAGGAACTTCTTGTGGGCCTTGACCTGCCCAGGTACGGAAACAACCATGCCACGGCGAACATCATCACGCTTAACTCCACGGAGGAGAAGACCGGAGTTGTCACCTGCGCGCGACTCCTCGCACGACTTCTTGAAGGTCTCAATGTCGGTAACCTTGGTCTTGATGGGAGCAGTACCCTTGCCGACAAGCTCGACTTCGGCATCACGCTTCAGGATACCGCGCTCGACACGGCCAGAAACGACGGTACCACGACCGGCGATGGAGAAGACATCCTCAACAGCCATGAGGAAGGGCTTCTCGGTCTCACGCTGGGGGGTGGGGATCCATGCATCGACAGCCTCCAAAAGCTCATCGACCTTGGTGACACCAATCTCAGGCTGGCGGCCCTCGATGGCGCAGAGAGCGGAGCCCATGATGATGGGCGTCTCGTCACCCTCGAAACCGTAGCTGCTGAGGAGCTCACGCATCTCCATCTCGACGAGCTCCAACATCTCCTTGTCGTCGACAGCATCGACCTTGTTTACGAAGACAACAATCTTCTGGACACCGACCTGACGGGCGAGGAGTAAGTGCTCACGGGTCTGGGGCATTTGACCATCGGAGGCGGCGACGACAATGATAGCACCGTCCATGTTGGCAGCTCCAGTAATCATGTTCTTGATGTAATCGGCGTGACCGGGGCAGTCGACGTGGGCATAGTGGCGGTTGTCGGTCTGGTACTCGATGTGGGCGGTCGAGATGGTAATACCACGCTTTCGCTCTTCGGGAGCCTTGTCAATGGAACCGTATTCGAGGTACTTGGCGTAGCCCTTCTCTGCTTGTCGCTTGGTGATGGCGGCTGTGAGGGTAGTCTATAGCGTATCAGTCGTCATGAGCGTGGGAGGCGGGGCGAGAGGCGTTGTACCTTGCCGTGGTCAACGTGGCCAATGGTACCTGATGTCTATTAGCATGAACGTAGGTATACTATCTCAGAATGCATACCAATGTTGACGTGGGGCTTGTCTCGTGTGAAAGAGGCGTAGTTCCGTACGCCGTTCATCCACCTCATCGTGCCCTGCGCGCCCAGAGCATTTTGCACGGGCGACACGCCACGCTGGTACTGGAGGGCGGAGCGCGAGGTGCGCAGGAAAACTCTGGAAAAGCTCGACATGATTGACCCGATCACACGATGCAGAGAAGCGAGGGGATGCGATTGCTTGAGATGGCGGTGGTGTCTCGAGATGGCGAGGCTCAAATCATTTTCTTAGCGCGACATGGTAGCGTATCGGCCAATC